ACTTCCTTGCCCTAAAACCCTCTCAGAAATGATGGGAGGCCTGGAGCCCAGGAGTGGGACGTATATAGGCTGTAACATTACTTTACTTTTTAATTTTTATTGGAATATGTCTATTACTTGTAAAGCTTAATGAATTTTGGGTGTTACCTTTGTCAAATGTATGTACACATGTATATTGTATATCAAATGTCATGTAAAAAATTATATTTAGAGTGTGTATGACATGTTAATGTAACATGTCAAATAATAAAGGACTTTATGAGTCCTTTGGTGAGCGGCATGTTCGAGCAATAATGTAATGCATTTGTGTTGTATGTAAGATAAACAGTAAGCATGTGTGAGTGAGGTCTTTATTAAGGTAAAATGTAATTGAATCTTCAGTAGCAATTAAAACACCGTATCGTTGACACCTTGTTTCTGTGATCAATCCCTGTAAAAATAGTGAAACTTAATACCACAACACACCTATTGTTCTCTAATATTATGGCTGAATGTTTTTTAAAATAAATTATATATATATATATATATATATATATATATATATATATATATATATATATATATATATATAAACTTTTTTCAAATACTTAATTATGTATACTATGGACTTATTATTTTATATACACAATAAAATTTATTCTTTATACTATATTATTATTTATACTCAATATGTACTCATACATGCATGCGCAACTTTTATCGGTCTGTGTGGGTAACTCCTCATTTAATATCGGAGTCATATTTACAAAACAACAAAGGAATGGTAACTCCTTTAATATTAGTGATGTTGAAAGGTTACTATTTATATACACAACATTTTATATATCTACAAATTACGTTTAATATGTATATACTTACACAAGCAACGATTGTTTGATTAAGAGGATTACTATTAATGTATTATCTAATATTTGTATACAAAACTACATAACATTGTTAAGTTCCGACAACATATACAACAACATAAACACTCACGCCTGTGTCCCAGAGGGGTAGGCAAAGACTACAGACTTCCATTTGGCACGATCCTGACACACCTCTCTCGCCTCCTTCACATCCATACACCTACGCATACATGCTCGTCGGTTAAGGGTACTCCTAATTTGGCCCGTTTTCAATAATTCGCCAATTTGGTCGATACATTTTTTTTGTTCGTTTTGAATGGTGGTCAGGTGGACGTGGTCTATACTGATTTCGAAAAAGCTTTCGATCGTGTAGACTACAACCTCCTGCTCCTCAAGCTCTATTTGCTTGGAATTCAAGGTAAGATACTCCGCTGGGTGTGCTCCTATCTTTCCAATCGCTCTCAATACATATGGAGCGGATACAGATAAGACTATGTAACTGTTCCCTCGGGTGTCCCTCAGGGATCGCACCTTGGCCCGCTATTCTATAATGCATACAGCGTTGACATTGCCAACTGTTTTTCTTATTCTAATCACCTATTATATGCAGATGATAAAAATAAAACTTATGGGGCAGTTTATTTTGTGGAAGATTGTAGATTATTACAATACGATTTGGATAAACTGTTTTCTTATTATCAACAAAATAGGATCTTCTCCAATATTAAAAAAAAATTCAGAGTATAAGCTTTACGCGCAAGAAAAGTTCAATTGTCTTTCCTTATAACCTTAATAATCAAGTATGTATTAACGCAAGTCTATGATGTACGTGATCTAGGCATTTGTTTTGACTCCAAGTTGCTCCTCAATATACATTATGATAATATAGCAGATAGAGCTTACCGTATGCTTGTATTTGTTCTAAGAACCTGTCAACCGTTTAAACGTACTTTAGCATTGAAAACGTTATATTTTGCATACGTGAGAAGCAATAGATAAATAAAAAGTGTAACAAGTACATGTTAAAAAATAAGGAGGACAAACAATTACTAAATGCAAATTTGATATTCTATTGCTAATTTGATAATGCTAATTGAATATAAAATTTGGTCAACTTTTTCGGTGCTAGATGATATCTTCTAGCAAAAAATTCCGGCTTTTGAAAATAAGCGCTCTGAAGGAACTGATGTGGCCGGTTTTTGTGTTGTTGATGATCGGCAAACTTCGTATTAATTGTCAGTGTCATTAGGTCGGTGGGAACACAAAGCGCGTACACATCGAATGAATAGCTCTTACTCTTTCACTCGTTCGTTCGATTCGTTCGTGTACAGCCAGCCCAAACTCGAGTTAGGAACTTAATTTAAACTATTTTGAGTATTAAAGTTATGAAGAGCCAACTCAAAATAACTCGAGTTTAGCGCAACTCGAGTTATATAGTAATGACACCCAGCAGCCACAAAAAGAATTTTCAAATGTTACATTTGGTGGAGTATACCATGAAGGTTAGAGAACAAGAGAACGATCACCTCGTACTAAAGCATAGCCCGCATGTCCTTGCAAATTGTAGAATTTATAGCGGCGCTGACGTCGGTGAGTAGTGACTGCGAAGTTAGTTGTTTATGAGTACAAGTAGATGAAGTTAGTTGAATAAATGCTCCGTAATTTTGTAATTTTTGACAAAAAGAAACGTTTAAAAATGGAGAAATATTTTGTTGTGCGTGGATGTGCAAGTGGTTTAGCATCTGATCGGAAAAATAGACTGAAAATGACTTTTATTGACCGAACTTAGCGTTTGCAGCGCCTCACTTATACCTACGGCGATCGTTCTCCTGTTCTCTAACCTTCATGGAGTATACAAAACAAAAATGTAATTATGCTAATTAATATTCAGACCCTAGACAGATAAACCTATAGACAAATTGACGCCTTCTTTCGCATTCGCACACGAAAAAGATAGATTTATGCATACGTCTTGCATAGAAATGAGATAGAGCGGTGTGATTGTTTGTCCCTTTCTACGTGCCGGTTTTTTTGTTTAGCAAACTCTACAGTTTGCTAAACAACTTTGACATCGTAGCGATTTAAGGAGTTTACAAGTTGGTTTAAGTGAGAAAAAAAGTGTTTTGTGAGCTTAAGATTGGTGAATCTTGTTCAGTTCAGTTCTTATAACAATTAAAATTTTTATCTAAATGTGTTTAAAAGTCATAAAGATTATTCTATAACCTAGAAATTCGTTATCGTTCTTTCTCACTCGAGGCCACGCCGATCATTAGTCTATAGGTTTCTCTGTCTACGATTCACACCATCAGATAGGCATGTCGATTCACTCTTAAAAAAATCGATCTCTGAATCGATTCAAATCGAAGATACTAGAATCGATTATCGATTAAATCGAGGATTAAAAGATCGATTTTCGATTAATCGCGACACTTTCAAACATGAAATTTTAAGAATTTGCGATGTTTTCTTTAATTGAACTTCAATATTTTTTGAAATTAAAATATTAGTAATCTTATTAATTAAAATTACTAATATTCCTTTTAACCTCTCCTAGTAAGCTTGAAACGCTTGTTTTAGGGGTTGTTCGCCACTCGATCCCTGTTTTTACAAAGTGATTCCATGTATCACTTTTATTTGACATTTTAGGCTAAAAACAACAACAATACTTTAACAAAAGGGCAAATTGCAACGTACATTTCTCGATTAATCTGTTTCAATCTATTAACTCACTATTTATCAAATTGAAATGAATGCTACACGAATACAATAATGGTTATTTCCTTACTATAAATTTCTATAACCTTCAACATATAATATTTATTTAGAGCGTCTAGATATATAGAAAGTACTCCGTCTGTACTTACAACTCGCAGTATGTATGTTTTTGATAATAAAGTAAATTCGCAAGTTCACAGTTCAAACAGGTTCACAGCTATAATATTAAATTGTAGTATGTATATGTAGTTTTGTTCAAAGCAAAGATTAAGTTAGACTAACAATCCACAGGTAAGAATAGAATTAGAAATTTAGAAATGAAAATGAAATGACAACTTTTCGATTTTGTTGGATGCGTTCGTAAATATTTATTTTATTCAAATATACAATATGTATCGTAATTAACGCACACCCTCAGATACCCGAATTAGGATATTATGTTATAAACATAATACATACACTGAATTTTTAGTTAAACATTTTTATGCACTGATTATTTTCAAATTAGTTAAACTAATTCCGAAAGAATGTTGTGGTCAGAATACAAATCCACGAACGCAAAGAATTTAACGTGCTTGAAATAAAGTTCATTTTTCTTTATTTTTATTGAATGACAGAATTAGTAATAATACAAATAAAACTACACTCTTATAAGTCTTATTGCCTTAAATTACGGTCCATTTCAGTTTGTTTTGACTGTACAGATTTAGTGTGACTGTAATTTACGTAGTTTTAATTATTTTTGGGATAAAAAACTACCTATATTAAAAATGATAGGAATCGATTCAGTAAACAATTCTGAACAAACTACTTTCTCAAAGTGCGTTAATTATGTTACGTGTTGTATATTCCGTTCAAATTATCAACCAATTAAGATCGGTTGTTTTTGCGTTCCCCAACAGCAAAAAATTAAAAAACTGCGGAATCTTACCAAAGCCAGTTTGGGAATTTTATTGCTGGTTCTAGAATCAGATGAATCGGTCCGATTCGAGAGGTTTTTGGATCGATTCAGTGAATCGATGCGGTGTTCCGAATCGATCTAAAAAATCGATTATTTTGCTCCAAAGAATCGATTTTTCGATTAATCGATTTTAGATCGACATGCCTACCATCAGACGTTGTTGATAATATACGTCATAACTGTTATCATTGCTTTACATTTTTTTTTCTAAACTAGTAAGATGCTACAATGCTATTAATGTTTAACTTGTGAAACAAACTCGACACACTAGAATATATTATAACAAGAAACAAGAATATATACATACACTAATTCACCTCTACATTTGTGACAGTTGTGCATTTAGTTGTAGGAGAAATATCAATTCCGTTAATTATTTACTCTAAAGTTCGACCATGAAAGTATATTTCAATAGCATTAAATTTTTGTTACGCGCTACAAAGTTTAATTATGATGCAAGAATTCATAAAATTACGCCAATGTTGGCTATTGAATCCAGGTTTTATGGTGATGTAAGTGTATGGACTACTTTTAAAAGATAATTAATATATGTTATAATGTGAACTGTAAGTAGCAGCCCAATAAAATCTAATTATTGGGCAGCTAATTACAGTTCACAGTAGTTGATTTAACATGTGAACTGCAGGTTACATACACGGCAAATAAATCGGATGTTACTACAGTGTCGGTGAAATCAGAGGCCCCGCTGAGCGACCTTTTAGGCCGGCGTCATGATTACCTACGTATTTCACTCACGGAACGATGTAATTTACGATGTAGGTTCAAAAAACTTAATTGAATAATGGAAAATTTGCATATTTAACAACTTCACTTTAATTCAATCCAGGTCAGTACTGCATGCCAGCAGAAGGAGTGAAACTATCGCCACGGTCAGCTTTGTTGACCCGAGATGAACTACTTCGTCTGGTTAATGTCTTTGCCAGCTTGGGTGTGCATAAGCTACGGCTCACTGGTGGTGAACCAACATTACACTCAGATTTGGCCGATTTAATTCGTAAGTAAAATGTAAAAAGTTGAAACATACATATTCTATCCCTATAGTAACAATTTTTTAATACAATAAATAAAGTTTTAAAAAAATGTGTATGCCAAGAAATGTTTGCATGTATTTTTATTAAAAAACTAAAGTGAAGAACAAACTTACATTTTGTGATGGTAAGTGAGTCCTGTGCCAACAAGTAAGTAACAACAACAAAAGTAACAAAGTAGCCAACTCAAAGGAAGAAGGCTACAAATGCACTGTTACCGCTGAGGACTAAATTGAAACTACCCTTCAGACCCGAACACTGTAGCCACTATGTAACAGTACTTACACTGTTATTTGCAGTTAACTTTTTTTTTGGCTATGTGTTTGTAGTTTGTGAATAGTAAATTGATGCAAGTGAGTGTGGCCGTGGAAGGAAAAGGGGAGATCTCCCGCCGGGCAAGGTGTTCTGCCCGGGGAGCGGCCAACACTCCGTGTGATAGTTCGGAGAAGTTCTATATATACTGTTTATGATTCGGAATGTTGATAGCGTGATTTAAGCTTCGGTGTATTTCGCTTGTGGTGCGACGACAGCGTCGCTACATCACCCCCTGCTCAGACCGGAGGTCGATAGTGCAGCCTCGTTCCCAACGAATGTGCAAGTGCCAGGAGATTGCCTTGTAGTCTGCGGTGAGTCGAGAAGAAGGCAAGTAATCTGCGAGAGTGCCGTGAAGCAGCGGCGAGCAGTAAGGCTCAGAGCCGTGCCGAACACTGTAGCGCAGAGAGTAGCTTGAAGGAACAGGAAGCATTATTATTCCAGCGCTGCGGTGAACCTAGTGAAGCTAGATGGCTTGCAGGATATGAAGACTGCAGACCATATCTGCTCGGGAGCGAATGGGTGGGGTATTCTATGACGATGATGAAGCTTGAAGTTTCCGAAGGTTGTTGGTTGCGTGTTCTGATCACGTCGGGTGGTCACCACTGTGGCCGTGGAAGGAAAAGGGGAGATCTCCCGCCGGGTAAGGTGTTCTGCCCGGGGAGCGGCCAATGCTCCATGTGATAGTTCGGATAAGTTCTATATATACTGTTTATGATTCGGAATGTTGATAGCGTGATTTAAGCTTCGGTGTATTTCGCTTGTGGTGCGACGACAGCGTCGCTACATGAGCATTGTTTTATTGGTTCAGGTATTAATTGTTGTAGATTACGTGACCATGTTATATTTAATTTTATTTTAATTCTACAATTAAATGTTACATAGTTAGGAAAGTCTCCTGTCATGATAATTAATAAAATATTAAATTAAAAATAAGTGATAACCTGATATAACAGTCAAATTAATCACAATAAAAACTGTAAGACTGTATATATTATTCGAATAAAATAGTAAAAGTGCATAAAAAGAAAAACTTTTGTGAAAAAAGTGTATATAGTGACCTGTGGATTATGTGACATTGTTTGTGACTCCATACAATTAGATATTATGGTGTATTTTGTAGTAAATAGTGTAAGACCAGATCTTCGTTGTTAAATAGGTATTAAAATTTGCAAAAAGTGAAAATTTTATGGAGAGAGATAGAATGTGTTTCTTGTTAAGGCTCATTTAATGAAGGTTAAATATGTGTAAGCTACAAAATTTAATTGAGCATTATATTGTGGTGTATGTTTCGAGTTGAACGCTCTGTACCAGAGTTCTAATCCAACACATTTTTTTTTCATATAATTTTAATTAATATAAGAATACATATATATAAAAGAGTAAAATATATGACATAAATATGGCATCCTCGTCGAAAAAAAATGCTCTATGTGCCAAATGTAATGTTATTATAGAAAATAATGAATATCTAATATGCACTTTATGTAAGAAAAAATATGATATTCAATGTGCGAACGTGTCAGCAAAAAGTTTTTATCTAATGAGCAAAAATAGCAAAATCTCATGGAAATGTAAATCATGCCTAAATAATAAGAATAAGCTAGTAGACGATTCACCGGTCTCTTTGAATTTGGTAAAATATGACAAAACAAAAATAATTGAACAAAATATAACAGTAAGAAAACAAAACTTTAGTAATAATCGATCAACGGACAACTGTACAGTAGTAGAAGATATTGATGACATTAACAGTTCTACCCCTAACGAAACTCTTCAGAGCTTACCCAACATGTCATTAATGGATAATTCAACCATAACTGAAATGAAATGCGAAATAGAATATTTAAAGATGCAACTAGAAAGTGCACACGCAGAAATTGCCGAACTTAACATTGAAATAACAAATTTAAAAAAAATTATCGAGGACAATAAAAAACAAATGAGTGTTTATGTCAAACTTTTGAATGTAAATACACCCAAGAAGGGCACTCCCAAAAAACGTTCCAATATTATTTTAAATAAAAAGAAGCCGGATTATGATGTTGTTACTGAATCGCCCACCACGCCCGTTTCCGAATTTAAGAATCAGAGTGCTACGAAATGCTTACAAGAGAAGTTGAAAAATGAGACTTTAAATGTTAAGGACATTAAGCAAGATACATCAAAAATCGGAAACAATGAACAAAAGATTTGTAACGAAGATATAAAAAAAATATCACCAATCACAGTACAACGCAACATAAGCAAAAAATTAACAAATAGTAAAAAAAATAAAATATATATCCTTGGCGATGAACAGGCACGAGGACTATCGCTAGAAATTAGAGATTCACGGATAAACACGTGGAACGATAACTATGATGTGTTATCTATAATTAAGCCTAACGCGACGTCTTCAGATATTTTATCATATTGTAACATCTTAAAAAATGAGTTGAGTAGCAACGACAGAGTTATACTAATATCATATGATTATAGTTATAAAAAAGTCTTCTCCTATGATAAAAGTGTTGGTTAATTATGTGCTTATGTTTAATTGAAAAGCTGTTTTAATGGTTTGGTGTAAAAAATCATATGTTTGAACATTTTAAGTTAATAATGAATTTCGGTATCAATAGTTAAATAATAATCGCACAATGAAATTAATATCGAATTACAATTTATCCACATACATGGTTGGTCTGAAAAGTTTCCGACCTAACAAAGATGCAACACATTTTTCTTAAAATTTATTTTTATTTTTCTACATAGGTAGTCTTCTTGTATCTCTACATACTTCTCCCAGCGATGCTCCCATCTCATTAACCCGTCCAAATAGTACTCGGCATTTTTCTCTGAAAAATAATTGTTCACGAAGGTGATTGCCTCCTCATTTGACGAAAATCTTAGTCTTCAGTTTTTTTTTACAGAATAGGGTAACAAACGAGCACACAGTCCACCTGATGGTAAGTGGTTGCTGCGGCCCATAGACATCAATAGAAGTTATCATTTTATACCTGTCGCACCAGGTGACGTGGAGAAAACCGCTATCATAACACCATTCGGACTTTTCGAGTTTCCTCGAATGACCTTCGGTTTGCGCGGAGCAGCACAAACCTTCCAGCGCTTTATGAACTCCATTTTACAAGGTCTTGATTTTGTTTTTTGTTATTTAGACGACTTACTTATAGCTAGTGACAACGAAGTTCAACACAGGCAACATTTAGAAATTATTTTTAAAAGGCTTAATAAATATGGAATTTCAATTAATTTGGCAAAATGTCGTTTCGGACAAACTAAACTAGAATTTTTAGGACACGAGATTAGTACCGACGGCGTCAGGCCGTTGCAAGATAAGGTTCAGGCAATTGTGGAATTTTCGAAGCCGAAAACTGTTGCAGAACTAAGACGTTTTCTCGGTATGGTCAATTTTTATCGAGCTCATCTTCCCAACGCAACTTTATATCTAACAGAATTAAATAAATATCTTAAAAGCTCAAAGAAAAATGATAAGACTCCCATCGTCTGGACGGATAGTGCGAACGAAGCATTTACGCAATGTAAGGCAGGTCTCACACAGGCCGCTACATTGACGTACCCTAGAGTGGGTTCCGCACTCGCTTTAATGACTGATGCATCTAATACATGCGTGGGAGCAGTCTTGCAACAAAAGGAAGGAGATAGCTGGAAACCATTGGGCTATTTCTCAAAAAAATTGACCACCACCCAACAGCGATATAGCACATACGATCGCGAGTTGCTCGCTATATACTTAGCTATAAAACATTTTCGGAAATTATTTGAAGGGCAAGAAATAACCGTGTATACGGACCATAAACCTTTAACTTTTGCATTTCAAAAGGTAGGACGCGATGAAAGCGAAACGCCTCGGAGAACGAGACATTTAGCTTTCATAAGTGAGTTCACTACAAATATAAGACATATAACCGGTACGAATAACATCGTAGCTGACACCTTATCGCGCATCGAAGCCGTGACTATGCCAACTGCGTTGAATTTCGATGACATTGCAAATGAGCAGCGTAGCGACAGTTATATCATGAATGTTATGTCTGGTTTAAATACCGATAATATTTTGTTAAAGGAACTAGTTATACCTATGTTAAATAAGTCTATTTTTTGTGAGATGTCTACTGATACAGCTCGTCCGTACCTACCGGAAAAGTTTCGACGCCTAGCTTTTGATAGTTTACATAATTTGAGCCATCCTGGAATTCGTTCTACGCGAAAGATGTTAGCCAAAAAGTATTTCTGGCCTAGTATGAATCGTGATGTTTCTTTGTGGGCAAAAACGTGCATACAATGTCAACGTTCTAAAGTTAACAGACATACGGTATCGAATCTGACTAAGTTTCCGGAAGTAGAGCGTTTTGAGCATGTGCACGTCGATATCGTTGGCCCTCTTGAGATCTCACCAGTTTAGGTGCTTACTCCATATGGGTGCCTATTGGTGACCATAATGAAAGATGAAATCTTTACTAATATATTTATTATAGCGGAACGTGCCATACAGTTGGCGGGCAACTAGTGACTGGTTGAAAAATCTTATTCACTACATAATATAGTTACAATACAACATTGCGAAGTTTACATGTGTGTGCGCAGCACACCTACATACTTATAATGGGACAAAATGAAACAAACCCATTTA